GCTATTGTGAGCAAGTAAACATAACAAAATGATTTTAAATTACTAATAAATTATCCACAAGTTTAATACAAAAGTCAAGATATTAATTTTTTTTTTTAATTAACTTATCTAGGAGAAAACGATAACGATTGTACAAAATCCTAAACATATTTAAATTATATTATTATCTCATATTTTAACTTTATATTATTTGTACAAAGTTTAAAACTGAAGATAAAACAAAAACTAAGACACTGACCATCAAATCAATGGCTTCTTGTTTTATTAAGTTGTGTAATAATTAATACTGTTTCTGTTATAAAGGGGGCCGTGGTGGAAGAGGAGGAGGAGGAGGAGCAGGGGGAACTAAACGTGCACAACGAAGGCCTGTTCCCACAGCTGAAGAATTGGATGCGGAATTGGATGCCTACAGCAAGGAAACGAAGTAAACGAGTGAATTTTGTATATAAACATTAAATGTTTTTACGTTTATGTAACATAGTTAAATGTTTTTTCTGTCTTTCACGAGATTTCTAATTTTCTGAAATTGTATTCTTCCAATTTATTTACTTTACGGATTTATTGAATGACTATTGTAATTGTGAATATGTGTTCATAATCAGTTAATCAAAGGAAAAAACGATATTTTTCATCTGAAATAATATCCCTGAGAATACAAGTGTATTTTATTGACTACATTAATTCATCTTTTAATGTTTTCATGCTTAGAATAATTATTTTAATGTGTTTTTAGGTCATAGTAATGTAATAAAGTTGAAAAAGCTTAGTTTGAACATCAACATTTTCATTTAAGTGATTAAAATAAATATTCGCGTAATAATAAAAGTTGATTTTAATATTGGATGTGCTTTCTTTATTGATAAGTAGCTGTAATGCCCGGGTATCCCTATTTTAGATATATATCCAGCAAATTTAATTTCATTTTTTAAAATCGGGACAGTCGTAGCATACTGATAAAAAAAAATGAAAAACATACATTAGGAAAAAAAGTATTTTGTCGATCTGGAATAGAACAAGACCCATATAAAGTATATGGGGTAAAAAGTTTTTACTTTTATCTATATAAAAGTTATTATTAATATATTTTGATGTTAAAAACTCGTTACCTTAAGATAACAACTCAATAAAGTTTCATTGCAGTTGAATGAATGGAAAAACAAAGAAACATCCAATTTTATGTATATATATTATAAAAGTAAATCTGAACGTAATTAATTTCAGTTCTCCTTTTATTGTGTAGTTTTCGGTTTTATATCGTAAATATTAATTATATCTGCTAATTTTTTTATTAAGTCCACCATCCTGAACTCGTCGTTTGAAAGAATGGTTGGATACGTGCTCTTCATATTCTGAGTTAATCTTTGAAATCTACAACATCCCACATCCCTATCCACTTCTTAACAGCAATTTAATATTTACCCTTGTTTCTGCTTCTACTATTTCCTAACTAGCCCTCCATGTCTCAGAGGATATGCTTACTTGTTGAGTTCTATAAAAACTCTATTCTGTATTTTCGAACACTTTATTTTTAACTATCTATCCACGGTATTTTTATCATCCTGCTATAACACCACCTTACATATGCTTCTAATAACTTTTTTCTTTTCGTCACGTCCA